AGTGCACTTTATCTGTTCTGGAATATGTGCAGAAGTGATTTTGTCCACGCTCAGCACAGTAACATCTGGTATTGTAACTGCATGCACCTGTTGATTGAACTGGCTACTGTGACATACTTTAGCAAAATGTCCACTCTTTTGCAATTATTGCACTGAGCTACTTTTGCCGGACATCCTGTATAGCTTGCAAGGTGTTGTGGGGATCCAAAGCAAAAATATGTTTTTACTGTATTTTGAATTTGCTGATTTGGTGGTTTTTCATTAGTTTTCCTCTTGCAATTGTGTGTCTGCAGTGGTAGTGAACTTTTCTGCAAAGGAGTCAATGCCTGGACTGTGCCTCCTGTATCTATGCTCATTATTTTGGCTTCAGCTGTAGCTGACTCAATCTGAGTAGCAATGGTTATTGTTTCTCTAGTGTATGTTGTGGTTCTAGAAGTAAGCGTTCCCTTACATGAAGCCTGGTTGTTTTCTCAATGAGCTGGTCCCTAATCATCTCATCTGCCATATTTGAAAAGTCACAAATTACAATCAGACTCCTCAGAGAAGCAATATACTGCATTATAGTTTCCCCTGGTTTTTGCTCACACTGGCAAAATCTGTAGTGATTAGCTACTACATTCACTTTTGGCACAAAAAAATTATTTAATGCAGTGAGTGCAATCTCATATTTATCATCTGCAAGAGGAAAAGTGTAAAATATACGCTGCCCTTCTGCTCCAAGGCAGTGGATAAGCAGAGCATGCTTTCTTACTTCAGAAATCTCTGTAGCACTGATTGCAAGTAGATAAGTCTGAAACGTATGGATCCAGGTAGTAAAAGCAATTGGAGGCTCACCTAGGCTTTGCAGAAAGGGTGCTGGTGGGTTCAGAGACAGAAGATCCATCCTCGTCGCCAAAATGTTGTATCAACCAGGCAAGGTACTAACAAGCTTCAACAGGACTTTATTTTCAAAGTGGAAACCTCTTTACCAAGCTGCTGCTGCACCCCCTGTAGCTTTCTCCCAGCCTCTCAATTCCTCCCCCCTCCTTCCTGTTTCCTGTCCTTTCAGACTCCCAACAGCCAGTGCTCCCAATTCTAATAATTACAAGCAACATCTAAACACCACATCTATCCCATCATCCAGATCATTATTAAAGATGTTGAATAAAACCAGCCCCAGGACTGACTCCTGGGGCACTCCGCTTGATACCGGCTGCCAACTAGACATTGAGCCATTGATCACTACCCGTTGAGCCCAACAATCTAGCCAGCTTTCCATCCACCTTATAGTCCATTCATCCAATCTGTACTTTTTTAACTTGCTGGCAAGAATACTGTGGGAGACTGTATCACAAGCTTTACTAAAATCAAGATATATCTCGTCTACTACTTTCCCCATATCAGAGCCAGTTATCTCATCGTAGAAGGCAATCAGGTCAGGCATGACTTGCCATTGGTGAATCCATGTTAACTGTTCCTGATCACTTTCCTCTCCTCCAAGTGCTTCAAAGACACATGCTACCTCTGCTCATGTTAGTATGCTAAAAATATCAGAGTGTCTGCAGTGGCATGGGCGGTCTACCCAAGTACAATCCCACCAACTCCCTGGGTATGTATTCAGGTGGTCATCTTGAGCTGCCACCCATGTTCCTGTGGCCAGATTACCAAGCCAGGGGGTTGGGTGGGATTGTACTCGGGTAACTAGCCCACACTGCTGCAGTCACAGTATTTTTAGTGTGCTGGCTTGTGCAGAGCTAACACGTCTGTCTACTTCGGCTGTGAAGCTGGCCCCCAGCTGTTGTGTAAACATACCATAAGCTATCATGGAGCTGGGAGACACGTGAACACCAGAGCCAGGGCAGCAGCAAAGATGCCTCTAACCTCCTGTGAATCCCTGGGGGTTGCTAAGTGAAGGGCAAGTAGCTCTTTCCATGATGGAGCAAACCTTGAAGGCTTTTTTGTGGAGGAGAAGCAGTTAGGGTGCTTGCCTGAACTCAGGATACCCAGTCCAATTCTCTGCTCTGCTACAGACTTCCTGTGTGACCTTGGGAAAATCACGTGGTCTTTCTCTGCTGCCATTCCTCATCTGTAAAATAAGGATAATAGCACTGCCCTACCTCACAGGAGTGCTGTGAGGATAAATACATTAAACATTGTGAGGTTCTCAGTTACTATAGTAACAGAGGCTATATAAGTTCCTTAGATAAGGGAGGGAAGGAGGATAGGTGCTGGGCAGGGGGAATTACAAAATATGAGGTCTCATTAGCTCTCTTTTGAAAAATTGAGTTACAGCTAAGACTAACACTGTATCCTTAAGTATTTCCATTGCACCCAAATACAGTATCACATAACATACTTTGCACAAAATGTACAACTTTATACAGTCCCAAGAACGTGAACAAAATGGGGTGCTTAACTGAATTGCTTGGCTTTTTCATTCTATAATTTTGGACTTGCCCATAATGTTGAATATACTCATACTGAGACAGAAATGTTTAGGGCATAGTACTACAGTTTTCCTTTAGCACAGCACACTATATTACTTCTTCTCTTGGGAAATTAGTGCAAGCCAGCCAAAGTACTTCACTATGCAATGAGCAGATTGAAAAGTCCAAAATAGAAATGAATCTACCATCAATATATCCATTTAATCAATGACTGGTTTAATTTTAATTGATATAATTACCGTGAAAATTTAGGCTAGAAGGATTAGCCCTGGGATAACAGGCTGGGCAGGGGGTAAAAAAGATCCCCCTTCCCGTCCCCCTCTCCTGAAATGAGTTCACATATGTGCAGTAGCAAATTGCAGGTGCGTTGGTGTTTAAGGAATAGGCCCAGGGCAACAAAACATTCTGAAACTAATTAACTTTACATTTCAGCCAATTATACTTCATCCTTCTTAAACAGCTGCTGAACAGCAAAAACGTAAACCTGTTCAATGTTTTATGCATGCTGCCAAGTCCCATAGCAATAAATTCAAAACTTAACCCTATATTTTGCTTGTTTCCTTAGTGTGTTAATGCCGTAATCTAACATTCCTATATCTTTGATTTTAAACACGTGATGATCAGACTTCAAATTTCTGCAAAGATTGTTTAGAGACAGTGTTTATGCTGATGCCTGTCTTGGAATGAAAGTGACATCTAGAACCAATTACATGAGGCAACCAGCCCTCCAGGTGTAGTGATACATTAATGGCAAACCAACCACTTCTTCCAGAGGATCTAAACACTGCTTTAGTTGCCTCAAAAATACACAACTAAGAAATATGTTGTTAAAAAAGTACTACTGGCAGATGTGTGCATGCACATAGAGGAGACCGGATCTAGCTTCCACTTAAGTCAACATGGTCCATAGGTCTTTTTTCAAATCTCTGGCACTTCCAGTGGACCAAGTTCTGACCTGGAAAAGTGTGTGATATCACAAGTCCAGTCAAGTGCCTCTTCTTGACCATTCACAAGACTTCTGTGAAGGGAATCGATTCTGGATCCCGTGTATTTTAGGCTTCCTGAGTATAACAGTCCAGTCACTCTCTGCCATTGGCTTGAGATCCCTGGCACACTCTCAGGATGCAGATTCCCTGTCTAACACGCCTTCCTGAGAGTTTAGACAATGTAGCTCACTGCCCAGCACTCGGACACCAGACTTTTCTGGCTCCCCTGTAGCTTAAACATGCCTTATCTCAGAACCTCCTGAAGGTGTGAGGTGCTGGGTTACAATTTAACTCTCAGCGCACGTATGATAAGGTATACCACATAACACACAGTCTTTTCACAGGATTCAAAACACAGCATTGGTCTTTGTTTAATAACTTAAGAAATACATATCTATATAAAAATCATAAATCCTGCATGTATTTCTGTGCTTCCATTTCCTCAATACTCCAGCACATTCTTTGGGCTGGGATCAAGGTTACCTGGGACTATCCAGCAAGTTCATTGTGGTGCATGGCTTGCTTTTTTTTTTTTTTTTTTTTTTAAAACATGGAGCCTTTTCTCCCAGTGTACCTACTGACTCTGGCCTGTGATGGGATGTTAGATGGGGTGGGATCTGAGTTACTACAGAGAATTCTTTCTTGGGTATCTGGCTGGTGATTCTTGCCCACATGCTCAGGGTTCAGCTGATCGCCATATTTGGGGTCAGAAAGGAATTTTCCTCCAGGGCAGATTGGAAGAGGCCCTGGGGTTTTTTGCCTTCCTCTGCAGCATGGGGCATGGGTCACTTGCTGGAGGATTCTCTGCACCTTGAAGTCTTTAAACCACGATTTGAGGACTTCAATAGCTCAGACATAGGTGAGAGGTTTATTGCAGGAGTGGGTGGGTGAGATTCTGTGGCCTGCATTGTGCAGGAGGTCAGACTAGATGATCATAATGGTCCCTTCTGACCTTAATATCTATTAATCTATGAATCTCCTTACCCTCTCCTGCCCAAACTTCTTGTGTATCCATCAGACATTCCCTCTGAGTTCACTTTAAATGCCTTCTTTGTCACCTCTGTCTTTGTCCTGCTTAGGGAATTGCCACTCTCTATTTCCTGACCCCTTCAGACAAGAGAAGGAAGTGTCTTTCAAACAGCTCATGGAAACTCACTTAGCATATCTATTGTCCCATCAAAGCACAGTAGTTAAAGTTAAGTACTCCCTGTTGTCCTTAGTCTGTTGTATATTTGCTCTACGTTCTTTCTGCAATGGTGGATATGCTTTGGGACAGCGGCTATCTGAGACTATCTAGTAAGTAGAATTCATACATTGTACAGATACCCCAAAAACATCACACATGGGGCTCTGTAGACTCTTTGGAGAAATGGATATCTTCAAGCAATTGATAATGTTCTCAAACATGTATTTCACTGCATAAATTGTTCTTGAGCATACAGTGGCCATCTAAGACACTGTAATATCGGTTCTCTCCCTACTTGGAAGAAGTAAAACATCCGAGATATCACATAGCTGGCTAACTGACTATTTAGTGACTGAAGGTTCTTCCATAATTAAACCTTTCATAAGATATTATCCCTTTTAGGTTTGACCCTCAGAAAGGCTTTTGGTGTCAGCTGCTGGAAGGAGGGAAGACCAAATGCCTGGGAAAAAGCAAAGGCCGAAAATACCCACCAATGGATCAAGAGGTACCACTTTTCTAGAGATCTGAGTTACAGTTTGTGAAAAACTCATGCAGCATCATGCTTGGGGCTCAGGAATAAAGGATGGTTCATTTTTTTAATGTTTTTTTTTTAAAAAACCTACAGTTCAGGATAACCACACCTGTATTTGTCCAACAAATGCATTCATACTCAGGCTTTTAGCTTCCCAGTCATTGCTTCTTTGTGTGGTGATGCATGTCCCTGCTGACTGGGACATTTCCAGGCTGCACAGATGTGAATTCTCCCAGCAAACTCAGACAGTGAAAGCTGACCTGCTTGCTTTCTCTTCACTCGTGCTAATAAGCTTACTGGTGATCATCCCAACTCCAGCATTGCCTGTGGCAGGTGGTTAGTCCTTCAAACCCCACAAAGGCATCTCTTCTATGGTCACATAACAGCCTCAGCTCAGAACTGGCACACACTTGAAGAGTTTGATCCATCTTTTATACAATTATGGGGTCTTTCATCTGGAGTTTCAAGAAGCAGGTAACCAATAAACAAAGGGTTTTTCTCCATACATTTACATTAGTCAGTCTCCTAGAAAAGTTGCATACAATCCCACAAGAACCTAAACAAATGCATTTTAATACAATGGATCCAAAAGATATTGAATTCAGTTTAATAAGGTTTAACTTAATAAGGTTTGTCCAGGAAATTTTCCTGTCACAATGATACTAAGAGAACTGAAATTGTGGGCCATAAAAATGTGGACACTGTTCCTTTCAGAATTTTACCTGGTTTGTCTCTTTGCTTTTTCAGCAAGATTGTTCCCCACAGGGGTGCCAATTTTTAATGTAAATTATCTTTGTTCCTTTTCCCCTCTTCCCTCAGTCTAGAGCTTTTCTTTCAAGCTACTACAGAGATCACAATGTGGAACTGTCTAAACTACTGCACAGATTGGGACAACCCCTGCCATACTGGCTGAGACAGGAGCTTCAGAAAGTGAGATAGCACTGATGTTCAGAGGACCAAAGTCTCTAATGACAGTTACTGGCACCATAAAACCCCTCGCTTCCCCGACTCACTTGTGATTGTCAGTACACGACCTCATGAATAACTGTCTCAAAATTAAATACAAATATAAAACTGTTTATATATGCACGCACTGACAGCTATTAGCATCAACTCCTTTGTCAGCTTCTGGGACACAATATGGAGCTATGTGGCATTATTCTTTATCCAGCCTGGGACTCATGCATAGTCTAGTCCCTCTGTTTACCAGAAAGTTCCAGAAACTGTATGTATGATTGATAGTCTTCATCATATATGACAAATTACAGCCTGTCAGGACACAAGCAAAGAACAGAAACATCTCTCGGTGGATTGTGAGGTTGGTTGAATTTAATAGTTTTCTGTATTTTTTTCTTTTGGCCTGATCCTTCAAGGTGGGTTTTTTTGGAGCAAACAAAAGGAAACAAAGTTGTCAATCAAAACATGTGATAACCATGAACCAGCTGGGTCAACAACAGTCTAGACAGCCCAAACTGTTGATATGTATTGGTGGGCTCCGAGTAGCCACACTGTCCCTGTCCAGTTTTCTTCCCTCCTCCTTGGATACAGTCCTTGTCCACTTAGGACACTGGATGTGCCTCATATTCCTGCCCATTGCCCATGTCCCTCTTCTCCCCCTCCCCCTTCCTGACCCCCTAGGCACTGTCCCTGCCTCCAGCTTCCATATGAGGAGCCCAGAAGCAGAAGATGTGTGTATGAGATGGAGGAGATAGCGCAGTCAGGCTGGAGTGAGAGTTGTGGAGGGATCAACCATGCTTTTTGAGTAATAGAGTTTAAGGCCACAAGGGACCACCATCTAGTCTGACCTCCTGTATAGCATTGGCCACCAACACTACCCACCATCCACACTCTAACCTCAAACACTGAAATTAGACCAAAGTATTACAGCTCACAGGAGACGAGATTGTTATTTGTCACAGGCAGATAATAGAAGGGACCAAGGTGCAATGGTAGTTGGGGCCCCTGCAATGGTAAAGAAATAATTAAAATATACCCATGTAAACCTGTCAAGTGACCCACACCCACATGCTGCAGAGGAAGGTGCAAACATCCAGGGTCACTTCCAATCTGATTTGAACGAAATTCCTTCCAGATGCCACAGATGGCAATCAGTTAGATTCCGAGCATATAAACAAAAACAAGAGAGAAAAATGCTCAGTGCCACCTCAGAGCCCTGGCCCTCCCTGTCCAATGGCCCATCTCCAGCCATGGCCATCCCTGATGCTCCAGAGGAAGGAGATAAAAAACCTCCCAGAAAATATTGGGGGAGGGAAAAATCCCCTTTTGACTCCTGCTAGTGGCCAGCAAGAACCCTGAAGCATAGGCTTTTAGGAACAAAAAGATATAAACTGGAAGTGAGACTTTTAGAATCATAGAAGATTAGGGTTGGGAGAGACCTCAGGAGGTCATCTAGTCCAACCCCCTGCTCAAACAAGGACCAACACCAATTAAATCATCCAGCCAGGGCTTTGTCAAGCCCTGCCCCCTACCACCACAAGCAACACAATCTGGAAAAAATACTTTTGAGCCCAACTCACGATTTTTGGAGGGTTCTGATTCCTGATTTTTGAATATTTAGGTTTCATATTTAGGTTTTGAATGTTAGTCTGTATCAGCAAAAAGAACGAGGAGTACTTGTGGCACCTTAGAGACTAAGAAATTTATTTGGGCATAAGCTTTCGTGGGCTAAAACCCACTTCATCAGATGCAGGCAGTGGAAAATACAATATATATAGATATATACACACAGAGAGAACATGAAAAAATGGGAGTTGCCATACCAACTCTAACAAGACTAATTAATTAAGGTGGGCTATTATCAGCAGGAGAAAAAAAAACTTTTTAGTGATAATCACACCACACGATCCCTTGTCTATAGCCAAGCTCTAAGATACAATCGCATTTGCTCCAATCCCTCAGACAGAGACAAACACCTACAAGATCTCGATCAAGCATTCTTAAAACTTCAATACCCACCAGCTGAAGTGAAGAAACAGATTGACAGAGCCAGAAGAGTACCCAGAAGTCACCTATTACAGGATAGGCCCAACAAAGAAAGTAACAGAATGGCACCTCCAGCCCCCAACTAAAACCTCTCCAGCACATCATCAAGGATCTACAACCTATCCTGAAGGACGATCCCTCACTCTCACCTGACCTGAAGCAAATACTCACCAGCAACCACACACGATGCAATAAAAACACTAACCCAGGAACCTATCCTTGCAACAAAGCCTGTTGCCAACTCTGTCCACATATCTGTTCAAGGGACACCATCATAGGACCTAATCACATCAGCCACACCATCAGGGGCTCATTCACCTGCACATCTACCAATGTGATCTATGCCATCCTGTGTCGGCAATGCCCCTATGCCACATACATTGGCCAAACCGGACAGTCTCTACGCAAAAGAATAAATGGACACAAATCAGACATCAAGAATTATAATGTTCAAAAACCAGTCAGAGAACACTTCAACCGCTCTGGTCACTTAAGTAACAGACTTAAAGGTGGCAATTTTGCAACAGAAAAGCTTCAAAAATAGACTCCAATGAGAAATTGCAGAACTGGCATTAATTTGCAAACTGGACACCATTAAATTAGGCTTGAATAAAAACAGGGAATGAATGGGTCATTACACAAACTAAAAACTATTTCCCTATGCTAATTTTTCCCCTACTGTTACTCTCACTTCTTGTCAACTGTTTGAAATGGGCCATCCTGATTATCACTACAAACTTTTTTTCCTCCTGCTAATAATAGCCCACCTTAATGGATTAGTCTCGTTATAGTTGGTATGGCACCCCCCATTTTTCATCTTCTCTGTATATATCTTCCTACAGTATTTTCAACTGCATGCATCTGATGAAGTGGTTTTTAGCCTATGAAAGCTTATGCCCAAATAAATTTCTTAGTCTCTAAGGTGCCACAAGTACTCCTCATTCTTTTAGCTGAATATTTAGGGTTAACGATGTTGAAGAAAACTGGCATGGTGAAAGTTTTTTGGACAAACCATTGAAAGGTTGCAGTGGGGAACCGGAGTAATTCCAAAGACTATCCGGCCAACCCATAATCTGAAAGAACATACGTGCCAAATTGCATCTGCAGCAATTCATCGGTAATTAAAAGATAATTTTGAAATGAAAAGCTCAGGAAACACCAAATGTTGTTTTGGGAGCTTTTAAAGGAATTCAGCAGATGTCTTAATCTGTTGCACTTCCTTTTGGAAGGGGTGGAAACCAGCTTTTCATGTAAGAAAAATACTAAAGTATCTTTTAAAATCTCCTTTTTCTGACATCCAATTATGTCTTTAGTATACACTCCAGAGGAGGGTTTCATATCACTTCTGTTTTTTGTGCTTCCTTGTTATTTATGTTTGGCTAAGTGTCATGCTACCAAGATATTCCATGTTCTCATTGATAAACTGAGACTTGATGTGGTTTTGTTAGGTGTAGCATACAATTTGAATATAAAAACAGCAGCATGTTAGGGTCTAATTTCTTCTGGCTGGAACATGATCCCTCAGCTCAGCCTTTGTCCAGAACACCTTTATTGTAGAAAGGTCTTTGTACACTGGCTGTAAATAATCTTGACTTTTTTTTCCCTTTAAGCAAATCATGAAATTATGCTTTTGACATCACTGACTGTAACTGAGGGGCATCTGAAAAACCAATTAAATAAATATAGAATAGAAGAAGAATAAAGAGCAAGCCAAACACGTTGTTAATAACAAGGAGAGCTGGAGTTTGGGGGGATGGGGGGAAATCGTGGGCTGACTTTCTGTTTTATGAATTACATACCTGGCCAGGCCGACTCCTGCATCTGTGCAGAGTCTCGCTGAAATTAATTGTACATGGAGTTTGCCCAGGTAGATCTTTTTGTAGGATTATACTCCTTTACATCCTTCCCCTTACTGCATCTGTATCCTTCCATGCCTGCTCTAGTATCTCTGCCTTTAAAAGGTAGAATCCAGCATGGATCAACACATGCCAGAATCTATGATAGCATATCAGATTATCAGAGCAGTTGTCATTTAGCTAGAGGCAATCAGAAAAGCATCTCTAAACTTTCAAATTATGCATTGACCTCTCAAAGTCTAAAATAAAATTTCCAGCTTAACTGCTTTAGCCTCCCCCCTACACCCCAATCAAACAAATTCCCTCCAAGATATGGAATCAGTTTGCCAACTTTGCCCAGAACAAATTAAAATGGCTGAATTATAAACTCTGGGGGAAGGACAAGTTTGTATAGTAAAAACAATGAGAGCGCTGATTTTGGATGTTATGAGGCTGTAGGGACATGATTTGAAGACAGAAATAAAGAATGCTTTGTAGTATCAAATTATATCCCTGCATCCATGTTTTGTTCGTATTTGTACTCATTTTTGAATGAATAATTCTTATGAAAAGTGCTGAATTGACAGACCATTCAATTGAAGAGCCACAGAACTGGCACAGATAGCATCAGTAAAGCTCCTCCACACCATCCTGCTAATGTGAGTTAGTCCTTTTCTGGATAAACCCCTTCCAACATGAAGATGGTAGCATAGTCTCTTTGCAACCACTGTATACTCATCTTCACTGAGGACTTCACAACTTTCAGAATATGTCCATCCTCACAAGTATCACATAAGAAAACCTACCTTTAAAATAAATACTTCTTATCACATGTACTGCAATATAAACCAAAGGCAAATAGGCCCTCCAACATTATGTTAAAGACATATATTCTCAGAAGACAAATTTTCCCTGTAAATGAAACAATTCTTACCTTTTTTTAATATTCTCTTTTCTTCCAGAGTATCCTTTTAATGCGACTGCTAAGGTGTGGACCTATCTACCGATTGGATCCCCCATCACTATCATATCTGGAAAAGCTAGCAGAAAATAAGGATTTGCAAACAAAGGAAAGTCTTAAGTGTTCAGTGTTCCAGTGACTGGATACTTTTTATAAAAACATAATCAGCATCATTTGGAAATATTTTTTTTAAAAAGTCCTAGTCAAAGATCTGAGACACGGGCAAAAAGTTAATGGCCTTGCCTACAGCATTTTTTTTTTTTTTGGTTTCTATTTCTATCTGACAACAGCACATCCAGTCTAACTCTGGTATATACTTGAGGTTTGGGAAAAAGCAAAATAAATTTTGATCACAAAGTATTTTTGGTTGGGGGGGGAGAAAATCTGTATTTGCTGAAATTGTTTTAAGTAATTGTGTATACACCTTCTTTGATCTTCTCACTTCTACAGAATAAACACCTCTGCTGGTACATCAGATGTGAGCACTTATTTTTTCCTTATACCTTCTACAGCTGTCATAGCTAAACCAAAATACTGCTATTTGTTTGACCTCTGACTTATACTTCAAGTTGTGCACGGGCTCAGCTACTCTTCCCTTCTGCATCCATACTGTGCCTCCACCCATCCTCCACACTTCAGCCTCTGATGCTTTGGGATTTTCAGCTTCTTGTAGACCTAATCATCTGCCTCACTCGTTGTCCCCCAGCTTTTGGGCAGAGAACAATAATTTTGGCATCTGGCTGCCTATGTACATATGGTGGTAAATTTTATACATGGTGGAAATGACTTTCAAAAGAATTAGGCATGCATGGTTCTACCTGAATTCAGTGAGAACCATGGCTACTCAGCTGCTCAGATAATCAGGCCCTCATTATTGAATATTCATTGGTGCAGTGACTTGGACAGAACTCTCCGGTGTCTCAGGTGAATGCTGTAATTACCAACCTACAGTCTCTCTCTCTCTATAAAATTGGACAAGTCCAATTTGAGAGTGCCTTACCTCAGATTACCCAATGGACTAGTGGTTAGGCCACTTTCCTGGAAAAGGAAGATGTGGGTTCGAGTGCTGTGTCAAATCAGACAGAGCAGGGATTTAAATCTGGGTCTTCAGGTGAGTGGCCTAACCACCGGGCTATTGGTCTCTTTCTTGTTCTTTTTCCACAAGAGAGGACTAACGTGGCTTAGATAACTTCATGAGACTGTTTACAGCTGAGAATCTCAAGCAGAAATAGGTGCCTACAGCACAGATCAGTAGGATTTATAAACCTAAGTACCTTTGAATCTGCCCTGTCTTGTTCCTCTGCATTTCATTCCTGGCTGGCTTAGTTGGCTTCCTGCTCAGCTTATAGGCTTCTGAAGATCCATTACTTAGCTGCCTAACTCTTGCCAGGCATTTCATGGGGACCCAGGGAGCCTAACTCAGGCTGAGGATTTCACTAGGTGGAAGGGTACCTCAATGTTAGGCACTGCAAGACCCAAGCCCTTTTGTGGATCTAGCCTTAAATGACACAGGAGTCTTTGTCCCATTTTCAAAAGTGATTTAGGCCTTAGGAGCCTAAATTCCATTGAAACTCAATGATACTTGAATGTGCTTGGTTAGGTGTCCAGTGGGACTGCCAAAAGCACCTATCTGCATCTTGAAATGCCTAAATACCTTTGTAAATGTGGGTCTTAGGAGGCTTTCAAAAATATTGCCTATCATCAGTCATGCCTCTTCCTCCCCCATACTCACTCACTTGTACACACAGTAAAGCTGTGTGAGAATTGTGGCTGAAACCTGACAACAGACCTAGTTTTAGGTTTGGCCTGAATCTGAGTCTCCCCCAGGTTCACATTAGCCTCTGTCTGAGGCAAGAAGAGGGTTGTGAGTATTAGTAGGACTTGCCATTTTTATTTAAACTCAGCTAGGCTCACAGTTTCACTTTTAGTTTCTGGAGTCAGACTGTCCCTAACCAGGCACACTCAAACCTACAAATGTTGTAACATTAGAGTTCTCAAGCCATTCATTTATGAGAAAAAGACTTTCTGACATCCCCACTAGTAGATTATAGGAAGTTTGGATTTTCAATTATGTAAATACCCAAATTCCTGTCACACTGGTGCAGGAGAAATTACAGATGGATTCTATGGGTAGTTTATACCTACATTTCTTTTAATCAATAATTAAAAGATTTCCCCAGGAATGTCGTTTGTTCCTTAACAGTTCAGCCACATGCAACTGTCAAGTGGGAAGGATATCTTGCTCTAGAACAGTTCATATAGAAACTTGTTTGTTTCGTTCACCTGTTAATTATTCAGCCCACTGGTCTCGACACAGCTAGGTCTAATCAAATGTGGGCTAATAGTCCCAAATAGTCCCCTGCTCCTTTGAAATGGCAATCTAATACTTGAAAAAGCTGAGTTCCTGTAACATGTGTTTTCCTCACAAGAAGTGAAATGATGTCTGAGGCTGTTCTTCCCCACAGTTAGCAATCTGAAGATTAAGAGAACTCCACCATTTTATCAGAGGTGCCTTCCAATCCTGAGCTAACTTCATCCACCACTGGCATGCAGCTATGTGTTTAGCACGTAATTCCATAAAATGGTTTGAGGCTTGGAAAAGACTATATACTTCAGCAGATAATTACATTCCCACTCAATTGACTTTTTACTCTCTACTTCTCTCACTATAGACTACACTTTACTATCCTGTAGAATGAAAAGGAGGACTTGTGGCACCTTAGAGACTAACCAATTTATTTGAGCATAAGCTTCCGCGAGCTACATTGATGAAGTGAGCTGTAGCTCACGAAAGCTTATGCTCAAATAAATTGGTTAGTCTCTAAGGTGCCACAAGTCCTCCTTTTCTTTTTGCGAATACAGACTAACCTGGCTGTTACATTCTACAGGATAGATTTCAGAGTATCTGTTGATCACAGTCCTTGATGGGTAATTTAACTTCCCTCACTCAATGTGAACTGTAAGAGAGAGAACTAAATATATGAGACGACGAGTTCTTATCCTATCTCTAGCTATGGGTCAGGTGTTTAAATATGCTAAACCAGTTTGTTTGTTTGTTTTTTGCTTTATATTTTTGGTTTTACTTTATTTACATATGCCAAAGAATCATCTGAACCTAATCTGTATCCTCTCCATAAATGCATAACTCCCATTAATGTCAATAAGAATTAGGTGTTCACATGAAGAAGAAAATAAACTTGCAAAAAATAAATTCTATCTAATGACATTGTAGTTACAGCACATATTCCTGCGAATAACACCAAGTAAGCAAAGACAAAATAGTTCTCCAACTTTCAGCTTTTAAAATGGCATAAAGAACTTTATTTATTAAAGCAAAATCATCCTTCAGCTAGCCCATAGTTACTAGAGACTGGTGTAAACTAGAGCTTTCATCTCAAACTCACCATATAGACAAGCAAACTTGGGAACAATCAGGATCAGCATCCGGATCCTAACCTCATTATTCAAGATCATCTCTAATACTCAGGGGACATGCCCTGTAATTGTAGTGTCTAGAGCACACAGTAAAACTGTCCCAGGAAATCATCCCTATTAGGCATGCTCTTGTCTTTAGAGATCACAGCAAAATGCCTTGAATACAATTCTTTTTTATCATTTTTAGAAGATCACCACTGTTATGTAATCAGTTTTCTGATTACTGTTATGTAATCTTAACTCCACTGACTTCAATAGACTTACTTCTGATTTTTTTTTATGTGAGAGAAGAATCAGACCCACTGGTTTTGTTCTGACAGAAGCAAGCAGTGTGAGGCGGGAACACTGAAGTTTTCCTTTAATATTGTTAGCGTCTCAAGGTCCAGTTATTATCTCTTCCCTATGTTACCTGTTCAGATGCAGAAATCATTGCAATGAGGTGATCAAGTTATGCTGGAAGATAAGGAGTTAGATAGCTGACTGCCATCTTTAAATTTGGGGACCAGAGAGTTCAAATATAAACTGTGGTCTTAAGAAGGAAGTAGGTTTTTACTATTTCAGTGAACTTCAACTCTTTCAAATAAGCTAGATTTTGTCAGCTGCTCGGAGGAGGATAGATATTTAGCCCAGAGACTGAATTCCCTTACATCTGCTTAAAAGAAATGATCCTATAACTCAAGATGAAAACAGTGCCAGCATTAGAGATATAGGGAGTCAGTCTGAAGCAGCTAGGACAAGCAAAAATGGGTGAGCTCCTGCAGTGGAATCAAAGGATTTAGGCATTGCAATGCTGATTGTCACTATGCCTAAAATGAAGGTGCCTAGAAAGCCACAGGAACAACTCTGCGCCCAGCGAACCCTGAGTTAGACGCCTAGGCTCCTGAATGAGCAGAGCGAGGCGCCAAAATGGGGCGAGAGAGGTACAAAAGCTATCAGGCTAGGGGCAAAGCTGCCTAAACTAGCCAAAGGGAGATGCCTACAAGAGGGGGATGTGTGAAACCCCACCCCTCTCGCCGAGTTAGGCAGCTATTTTTGTTTGTGATCCACAAAGGGGAACCCACCACTGGGAGTCAGACAGCTTAGGCGATGAAGCTGCTCTTTGAGGGAATGAGTTGCGTGGAGTGAGGCACATACCTAAAACAGCAGCAGGAGGAGGAGGAAGTGGTGCAGGTGGTGATGATGATGGGATGTGGGAGACGCAGGTTCAGTTCCCTCCTCCCCCAGCAGAAGGGTCAAAAGCAAAGCGTCCTAGCCACTGAGCTGTGGGATCGGCTGATGTGAGGTTTTCTCAATCTCTCCTGGTGAAGCTGATCCACTGTGGATAAATAATGGAGTGATTGGAGCAGGGGAACTGGATCTGGGATCTCTCACCCAGGTGGGTGCCCCAAATCACTGGACTACAGAGTCATAGTATCTCTCTCACTCTCTCTGTGCCCACCCCCATCCCCAAATGACTGCTTCACTGTGGATAAAAACTCAAATAGTCATTAGGTCAAAGAGAGAGAGAGAATGAGTATAGTTTAGTGGTGTCTATAAAGCTGCCTGCAGTGGAACAAGAGGATGAGTAGAAACCCCAGAGCAGACTGTTAGGAAGTAGATCACTACCCCTAAAATGGCTGTGAGTTCTATACTTAGATTTCACCAACCAATTATCAAGTGTAAACTCCTCAGGTACTATAACTGCCTAAACATGGAGTCTCAGAC